GATAAATAACATATAATTATTTTATTTGAATGTATGTATCATAAAACATTTGATGAGATGCAAGAGCTATTTATAATAAGACTGTTTAACGAACTAGAAATAGAAGAACCTTTCTTAATTAGGTAAAAGTTACATATAAAAAACTTCATTGAATATTATAATTAACTGAGAAACCATGAGATGAAGATGCTTCAATTACACTACTACTGCAAAATAGTTCCAAAGAAACTAACCAAAAGAATAGAGAAAAGAAAAAAAAAAGGGGTATTATGATGGGAAAGGTGGAAAAAAAAACTGTCATTATTTACAAAGTGATATAATTCATCTCTCTTGGCAAAAAGAATAATCCATTATTCCCCTTCTGGGTCTATTCCCTAAAGACCTAAAAAGAGCATGCTACAGGGACACTGCTACATCGATGTTCATAGCAGCACAGTTCACAATAGCAAGACTGTGGAACCAACCTAGATGCCCTTCAATAGATGAATGGATAAAAAAAATGTGGCATTTATACACAATGGAGTATTACTCTGCATTAAAAAATGACAAAATCATAGAATTTATAGGGAAATGGATGGCATTAGAGCAGATTATGCTAAGTGAAGCTAGCCAATCCCTAAAAAACAAATGCCAAATGTCTTCTTTGATATAAGGAGAGTAACTAAGAACAGAGTAGGGTCGAAGAGCATGAGAAGAAGATTAACATTAAAGAGGGATGAGAGGTGGGAGGGAAAGGGAGAGAGAAGGGAAATTGCATGGAAATGGAAGGAGACCCTCAGAGTTATACAAAAGTACATACAAGAGGAAGTGAGGGGAAAGGGAAAAATAATACAAGGGGGACAAATGAATGTCAGTAGAGGGGGCAGAGAGAGAAGAGGGGAGGGGAGGAGAGGGGAGGGGGGATAGTAGAGGATGGGAAAGGCAGCAGAACACAACAGACACTAGTATGGCAATATGTAAATCAATGGATGTGTAACTGATGTGATTCTGCAATCTGTATATGGGGTAAAAATGGGAGCTCATAACCCACTTGAATCAAAGTGTGAAATATGATATATCAAGAACTATGTAATGTTTTGAACAGCCAACAATAAAAAATTAAAAAAATAAAAATAAAAAAAAAAGAATAAGATTTCAGCTGGGTGTGGTGGTACAGACCTGTAATCTCAGCAACTTGGCAGGCTGAGGCAGGAGGATTGCGAGTTCAAAGCCAGCCTCAACTACCTAGTGAGGCCCTATGGAACTTAGAGAGACTCTGTCTTAAAATATAAAAAGGGCTGGTGACGTGGTTCAGTGATTAAACACCCCTGGGTTCAATTCCTGGTATTATTACTATACTACTACTACTACTACTACTACTAGGGTTTAGCAATGTTGCTGGAATTAAGAACCACTTCAAAAAACTCAGTATCATATATAATATGCTATATATAATATAATAATATATATATAATATAATATAATATAATATGCTATATATATAAACTATATATGTAGTTTATATATTTAATTAAAATATTTTTATATCTATTGCTGTCACAGAAATGCTACTGAGTTTATATATATATAATATATATTATATATAAAATAATATATATATAATATAATATGCTATATATATAAACTATATATAGTTTATATATTTAATTAAAATATTTTTATATCTATTGCTGTCACAGAAATGCTACTGAGTTTTTTGAACTGGTTCTTAATATTTAAAGAGCATGATGCATAAAATTTAAAAGTTTAAGGATGGAAATACTTTTGTTTTATATCTCAACTAACAGGAAATTAATATTTAACTTATATAGCAAATTCCTACAACATAATAATCAAGATACAGGAACCCAGATAAAAAAATGTATAAAGAATATAAATAAGCAATTTCAGAAGAAGCCTTAAAAAGCAGACAAATGTATAAAGAGAGACTCAAACTCAACAGTGATAAAAGAACTCAAATTAAAACAATGAGTTATAAAATTACACATATTAGACTGAAAACAAAACAGAGCTAGATAATGCTAATGGTTTGCAGGAATGAAGAGGCTACCAGGAGTATGGACTCAACCATTTCTCTGGGGGAACATCTGATAGGATTTTGTCAATTTATGCATAAACATATATCCCATCATCTAGCAATTCTGCTTCTGGGAATATATTCCAAAGAAATCCTTGCAAAGTCCCATGATAGATAAGTATGAGCATGTTCATCAATGGTATTGTTTGTGACAACAGGGAACTGGAAACAACTTGGGTGATATTCACTGGGGAAAATGGACAGTTAAAACAGGACAGCTATCAACCATAAAATACTATGCAGCCATTATAAGCAATGTAAACACAGAAACATAAATAAATGTTTAAACATAATGTTAAATAAAATATAAAACAGACTGAGATACAGTACAATTAATTTAATATTCAAAAGCTGGGTGTTTATTTAAAAAGTATAATGCATAAAATTAAAAAGTTGAAGCATGGAGACTTTTTTTCATATCTAAAAATATCAGGAAATTAATATCTAGCTTATATAACAAATACCTACAACATATTAATCAAGATACAGGGACCCAAGTGAAAAAAATGAATAAAGAATATGAATATGCAATTTCAGAGGAGGAACAATACCACTTTGCATATTTACATTTTAGGTATAAAAATTGGGGAGGGAAAAGGGGACAGATGGGTGAGACATACTCAACTGCTAGAGGACAACTGTTGAAGTTGAAAGATAGGCACATGACATTTCATAATATTATTCTATTTTCTTTTTATTAATTTGACATTTTTCATATAAAGATATTGTAAAATAGGGGCTAGGGTCGTGGCGCAGTGGTAGAGTGCTCACCTAGTGCTGGGAGCCAGTAGCCAAGTAGGTATGACAATTTCCTTGCCAGCGTACCCCATGTTGCAGTGACATTGAATGTAGGTGACCTTGCTCAAGGACCAGGGCGGATTAGGGTGTTCCCGGTTTAAGATAATCAGGTTTAGGGTGTTCCCAGTTTAGGTTCCAGGTTTAAGGTTTAAGATTATTCCTGCTGGGAATAGGGCGTATCCTGCTGCCTGAGTTCCCCTTGAGTTCTCATGGGATTCAGACAGTATATTTTGGAGATAGAAAGAAGCCCAGTGGAGGTGGATTTGGGCAGAGAACGTGGATTTCCCCAGAACGTGATTGTAGATGGCTGGTGTGAGTTCGGGAATAAAGAGTTGCTGTTTGAATCTACAAGCTGTGTGGTGGCTTGTGATTGTGTGCCCACCCAGACTGTGGCATTTGTGCCCAGCCAGACTGCGGCAACCTAGCGCATGTGAGGCCCTAGGTTCGATTCTCAGCACCACACTAAAAAAAAATATAAAGGTATTGACAACTAAAATTAAAAAATAAATAAAAAAGATACCCTAAAATATACAATAATACTTACATGAATATATAAGCAAAAAAGAATGCTATAATTGATATTATTTTAGAAAATCATATGAAAATGGCTTCCTATGGTCAGAGGAAACTACTGGAGATGGGAGTAAGAGAATCTGAGATGATTTTCATGACCAATAATAACAGTGTGCCATGAACTGAGAAGTGTGATAAACTATATTTCCTCTCTGTGCAAAAAGGTCCATTACATTTTTTTGTATCAGAAGGATCTGATTTAGACTTATCTAATCATTATAATTCAAAAAACAATTAAATAGCTGTTCCAAGTAACCAATTTACAATATATAACTATGGAAATAAATTAGAAATAAGTAATATGACTTATTTTTTAAAATAAAATAATTTCTGACAATAAAATTCATCACAGAAAAGTAGCAAAATCACTAAGCTGATAACCATAAATTAAAGAGGAATAAAATAGACTTGAAGTACTTGTACTCTAAAAGAATAAAGAAAAATAGAACAAAGGAAAAAAGAAACTGCACCAGAGGCCATAAACTGTTTTACTGGGTTCACACAGTGGCAAAATTGGATTTTTTCAAAGACAAAATCTTACACTGTTATTGAAATATTAAGGTTTTAAAATCCAAACTTCTGGTTTCTTTGGGAAAAGAAAATAAGGTTTGATTTTGCAGCCTCTCATTTCCACTCAGCAAGAATCCTAGAGCTGAATAGGAGTGTCCCATTTATAGGCCACATACTTTCTGGACTTTCATTGTCCCCATCTGGCAAACAATCATTTAAAGTAACTTTTATGAGGTTTGTACCCCTTGTATCACACTTGAAATGTTATCAAAATGTAGTCTGAAATGTATAGTAATGAAAGCATATAAGCAATCACAGAAGGCATGACAGAACACACGGAGTGACAGGATATGCCAGGTGAGGAAAGTCATGAAATAATGAAAAGGGGTCTGGTATTCATAGGTACCATGAGTACATGAAACCATGACAGGGTTTTCTGGAGTAGGTAAAGAACAAACTCTTAATGTGTTAAAAGGAACTGATTAAATACATTAAAAGGAAAACAAGGGGCTGGGATTGTGGATCAGTAGTAGAGCACTCACTCGCCTGGCATGCATGAGGCAATTGGTTCGATCCTCAGCACCACATAAAAATAAAATAAAGGTACTGTGTCCACACATATATATAATAATTAATATTATAATAACATATATATATATATATATATATATATATATATATATATATATATATATATAAAAGAAAAAGAAAACAGTGGATGACAGTAGATTTGTTTTATTTTTTCAAGTTACACTCTGTAAAATGTGCTCATGGGTTTCATTGAAGCTACTTCAATTATTATTTATAGTTGGTTTTCTCCCTCCATAACAACATGTAATTTTTAATCAATTGGTTATTATAAACAAAATAGGATACTTCCTGTTAAGATGGTATTAAGGCATAAAAATTGTTTCTGAATATAAATGGATGTAGATGTGAGTCAGTTAGATTAGGCCAGTTATAAAAAATAAGCAAATTTACAAGTTGAAATTATAATCAGATAACCCTAACAATTACTTATGAGGCTTTAGTTATTACTTACCTTGAGTGTCTAACTTCTAAAGATTTTGTCTGTAAACCATAAACCCTTCAAGATCTATTTCATATATGCAGAAAATGACATCTCCAAGGATCATCTAGAAAAAAAGCATAAGAAAATGTGAATTATAAGTAGTTTCATTTATTTTAAATACAAGAGAAAATCTTTGAAAAATTTTAAATAAATGTAATTATAAATACATAGATTCTGATCTCCTATATAAACGTTGTCCCACCATAGGAAATACTTTCCTTGTTCAAAGTTATTACAGAAATATATTCTTGATTACATTTGAACCAAAATCAGAACGGAAATCAACAAGTTCAACATTCTGTTCTCATGAATATCCTTATCACTTAAACTTCTCATTCAGCACATTACACCAACTTAGGAAAACAGCAGAAAAGGTCTTTTTAAGAGAAAATTCTTCAGAGAGAATGTTCTTTGCCCCCAAAACTCGATTTTGATTGCCTGACAATGCAGTTAAGGAAAAAGGATTGGGACCCTACTGTGCAATATCTTTAATATATGGTTTTGAGTACTACAGATTCTCAAGCCAAACATAAATGATTTTTGAATTAGTGTTGTCATTGTTCTTTTTGGTCACTAGTGTAGATTTCTATTTCTTAGCTGCAGCTATACACTGAAAGCACTTGAGGCACTTTAAAAATAAATTAAGTCAGTTGATTCTTAGATATTCTGATTTAATTATTATAGAGTGGGAGCCGGGTCCTAGTTTTTCTTTTCTTTTCTTTTTTTTTTTGGTACCAGGGATAGACCCCAGAGGTGCTTAAACACTGAGCCCCATCTCTAGCCATTTTTATTTTGAGATACAGTCTCACTAAGCTGTTTAGGGCTCCATTAAGTTGCTGAGACTGGCCTCAAACTTAGATTCTCCTGCCGTGGCCTCCAGAGTCGCTGAAATTATAGACATGTTTTAACCAACCTAGGTTTTTCTTTTTTTAAGTTAATTAAGGAAGGTTATCCTTTCTTCTGGTTTAGAAACAATCTCACAGGAACTATTGGCTTAGTTTCTACATATTAATAAGACATTAAATTCTATAAAACATCTACAGAAGTTTATGAGATACTGACACTTGTTAATCTATTAAATATACAAAATGACTTCAAAAATTTCACCACACACACAAACATACACAAATATACTCCAACAACCATGTGATACATGACAATACATGGATCCAAGCCTGATCTAATTGGTAGTTGCAGGAAATCTCACTATAAGACATTTAAGGACTAAATGTAGTACTTCAAAATATAGACCTTCAAGTGACATACCCAGAGATTCTGATTTGTGAGAAACAGTCTGAGGTCACAGATTCTCTCTCTCTCTCTCTTTTTTTTTTTTACAGGTATCCTTGGTTTTTATAAAACAGGTCTACTAGCCAGGCATGGTAACACACACCTGTAATCCCAGTGGGAAGCTGAGACAGGAGGATTTCGAGTTCAAAGCCAGCATCAGCAAAGGCAAGGTGCTAAGCAACTCAGTGAGACCATGTCTCTAAATAAAATATAAAATAGGGTTGGGGATGTGGCTCACTGGTTGAGTGCCCTTGAGTTCAATCCCCAGTACCCCCAAAACAAGAACAAAAAACCCCGCGTCTATTCTTCTTGTAAAAACAGTGTTCTAAGCATTTGTGAAAGCTATTACTAGACTCATTATTTGCATTTATAAAAACAGTTTTTGACTTTTAATTTTATATTTCTTCTTTTAGTTTTCTTTCTTTCATTAGTAAATTAGAGTTATACATAATAGTTGGATTCATTTTGACCAAATCATACATGAATGGAATTTAATTTATTCCACTTCAATCCCCAGTATTCCTCCTTTTTCTCCCCTTCTCCTTCACCCTATTCTACTTCCTCTACTCTACTGGTCTTCCTTTCACTCATTTGTTTATTTATTGTCAATTGGTGTTTATAGATATACATAAAGGTGGAACTCCCTGTGGTATACTTAAACAAGCACATAGTGTAATCTTGTCAAATCCATTCCACATTTCCTCCTCTTTCTGGTCCATCTTTCCTATTTCTCGATCTCCTTCTACTCCACTGATCTCTATATCTTTATGATATCTGACCCTGTCCCCTTTCCCCTTATTTTGCTATAGTTTCTATATATTATAGAAAACATTCAACCCTTAATTTTCTTAGTTTGGCTTATTTCACTTAGCACGATGTTCTTTATTCATTTATTGGCAAATACCATAATTTCGATCTTCATGGCTGAGTAAAACTCCATGTGTTACATATACCACATTTTCTTAATCTATCATATTGAAAGGCATCTGGTTTGGTTTCATTATTTGACAAGTGTGAATTGCTCTGCTATAAACATTAAGGTAGCTATATCACTAGAGTATGCCAATTTGAATTCTTTTGTACAAAGACCAAGTAATGGGATAGCATGGTCATATGGTGGTGTCATTCCCAGTTTTTGAAGGAATTTCTATACTGTTTTCCAGACTGACTGGAATAATTTTCAGTCATATCAACAATGTATGAGTGTACCTTCTCCCCAAATTCTTTCCAATATTTATTATTATTTGTATTCTTAATAATGGCCATTCTGACTGGAGTGAGATGACATTGTATGCAGTTTTGATTTGCATTTCCCTGATTTCTAGAGATGTGGAACATTTTAAAAATAAATTTGTTGGCCATCTGTTCTTGTTTTGAGAAATGCTTGTTTAGTTCTTTTGTTCATTTATTGGTTTTTATTTATTTATTTATTTTTTGGTGTTAAGCTTTTTGAGTTCTTTATAATATCCTGGATATTAATCCCCTATCAGAAGAGCAGCTACAAAGATTTTCTCCCTTTCTGTAGGCCCTCTTCATGCTCTTAATCATTTCCTTTGCTGTGCAGAAACTTTTAAATTTGAAGCCATCCCACTTACCGAATCTTAGTTTTACTTCTTGAGCTACAGATTTTGTTAATAAAGTTGATGCTGGCACCGATATGTTGGAGTACTGATATATGCTTTCTTTTAGAGGCTGCAAAGTTTCTGGTCGAATTCCTAAGTCTTTGATTATTTTGATTTTACTTTGGTGCAGGGTGAAAGATAGGGATCTAGTTTCACTCTTCTATATATGGATATCCAGTTTTGCCAGCACCATTTGCTAAAAAAGATATCTTTTCTCCAATATATATTTTTGGCACCTTTGTCAAGAATCAGATGCCTGTAAGTATGTGGGTTTGTCTCTGTATCTTCTATTCCACTGTTCTTTGTGTCTATTGTTACTATAGCTCTGTAATATGAGATTAGGCATTATGATCTCTCTAGCATCACTCTTCTTGCTTAAGATTGCTTTGGCTATTCTGGGCTTTTTTTCTTCAAAATGAATTTCAGGACTATTTTTTTTTCTAGTTCTGTGAAGAATGTCATGGATATTTTGATTGGGTTTGCATTGAATCTATATACCACTTTGGATAATATGGCCATTTTGATAATATTAATTCTGCCTATTCTAGAACATGGAATAACTTTCCATCTTTAAGGTTTTCTTCAATTTCTTACTTCAGTGTTCTATAATTTTCATTGTAAAGAGATTTTACTTCCATGGTTAGATTAATTCCCAAGGTTTTTGTTGTTGGATTTCTTTCTTTCTTTCTTTCTTTTTTTTTTTTTTTTTTTGAGGTTATTGTGAATGGAGTAGTTTTCTCGATTTTTTTCTCAGCACAACTGATGTTGGGGTATAGGAAAGTTATTGATGTATGCTATTGAGCTTGTATTCTGCTACTTTCCTGAAATCATTTAACTTCAGGTAGTTTCCTGAGTCTTCTAGATATGGGAACATGTCATTAGCAGTAACAGATAATTTGACCTGTTTTCATTTATATCCCTTTAATTTCTTGTCTGATTTCTAGGGCTAGAGTTTCAAAAAAAAAATATTGAAAAGGAGTGGTGAGAGTGGACATCATTGCCTTAATACTGATTTTACAGGAAATGTTTTCAATCTTTCTCCATTCAGTATCATGTTCGCTTTGGGTTTGTCATGTATAGCCTTCATAATGTTGAGGTGAGTTCTTTCTATCCTTAGTTTCTCCAACATTTTAAACATAAATATTTGCTGGATTTTATTAGAGGCCTTTTCTCCATCTATTGAGATGATCATATGATTATTGTTCTGAGTTATACTTATGAGGTGAATTTTATTAATTGATTTGCATATTTTGAAGCAAACTTGCATCTCTGGGCTAAAACCCACTTGAGTATGGTGTATTTAATATCTTTTTAATGTGCTACTGAATGTGATTTACTAATGTTTTATTAAGGATTGCTGCATCTAGTATATCAAAGATATTGGTCTCTACTTTTTTTACTTGATGTCTAAAAGTTACATTTCTAAACGTAAAAGATAATCACCAAACCTACTGGTTTAGCATTGATTTTTGAACAGAAAGTAAACATAACTTTGGCAATAATTCAATGTAGAAAAACTAAAATAATGTTTACAAATTATAGACTTTGTAAGCCCTGCTACCCTCATAAGTAAATGGTGTAGCAGATAATCAGTAAAAATAGAAATAGAAATAGAAAACTAGGCTATATTCTATAATGCAATATTTAAAAATGCAATACTTAAAAACCTCATTTATAACTCATTTTAAACCTCATTTATAACTAGAGATATGACCTCAAAGCTTCAGAATTTAAATTTTAAAATTCATGGTGGCATGGGGAATTGGGATACACTTCTATAATATCATTTTTTCCTACTGAAATACAAAAGGCAAAATTTTTATAGAAAACGTCTTGAAACATTTCCCTCTAGAACACATGTACACTAACATAAAAAAGGCTGTTAACATTTTAGTTTTGAAAAATCTTATAAACAGGTCCATAAATATTTTGTAAGAAATATAATATATTCTCATATATATACCTTTTAAGATCCCATCAGAAAAAGATAATTTTAATAAACAAAGCTACCTGAGACTTTGCTATACATAACAATTATGGTGACCTCTATAACTAAAAGACTACTAAATTTTACCACTTATCTTCCTTACCTAGTTTGGAAATTATTATTTCTTTGCATGACTGAACTCCTAATGGTCTCTGGTTTTCTGGC